TTGTTGGTTTATTTTTATGGAGTCTAGTTTGTATATGTGATCCGGATGATGACCCGACCCGAAATAATGTTTGTGTGGTTTTTAATGGAAAATTTTCTGAGGCTTAGTCCATGGAGCGAAGGCTTGGGCCGATAGGCCCAAAATTTTTTTGGGCCCGTTATACAACCCAGTGCGTAGGACATATAAACTCTATTGTTTTGGTGATTAGGGTTAATTGTGGATGGTACAGCCGCTTTCTGTATTCAACTCTCTCAATAGTGAAATTCCTACAGCTTCGTGGACGTAGGCAAATTACCGAACCACGTAAAATCTGTGTCTTGTTCTTTCTTGTTTCTTATTGCTTTATATTCTTGATTTGTTCTTCGATTGTGTGTATTTGTTAGTGGATTTAAATCGTGAGAAATCCCAACATCCGAGACATCCCAAAACATGAGAATTACAATTTTTCACCACTGTGTCATCTTGGTTTCCACACAAAACAAAATTTTGATACATGCTTGCATCATTAGTTCATGGTCAATATCCCCTTAAGGACATGCAATAACATAGGAAATAGTGGTTCTATGACAATCTCCACCCATTTTATTTAAGAACTCCCATCCTTGCCCGCAAGGAGCTATTGAAGAAGTGACAATTGCCCAGAATTGACTTGTTATTTATCTTTTTTTTTTCAGCTTCTGCAAGAACAATACTCTAGATCCTACCTTAATTAAGGGGAAGGTCGTTGTGTGCACAATTGAGGTGCTTACTGAAGACCCCACAGAAAAGGCCATTTTTGTGGAACAAGGTGGTGGTGTTGGGATGATACTCATTGATCCAGTGGCACAAGACATCAGCTTTTAGTTCGTAATCCCAGCCACAGATATTTATCAAGAGGCAGCCGAAGAGCTTCAAGCATATATCGCCACAGAAAAGTAGGTTTCAAAGCTTCTTTCTTTGGTTTTCAAGGACTGACAGCCAAAGATAGCAATATTGAAAATAAGAAGAATAATTCTACATTAATAAAATTAATGAGTTGTGCATCATTATAATTCTTCGATTAGTACAGGAATCCAGTGGCTAGGATCTTCCCGACTCAAACAGTTCTATTTACTAAACCCGCACCAAGGATGGCAGGGTTCTCTTCAATGAGTCCAAACACTTTAACACCGGACATCATCAAAGTAGGTTTTACAAGAACTTGATAATATTTGAAATTTGATTCTCATACATGATTCTCATCACATCAAAATCCATAAATTCTACCTGATAGATACGATTCTCTTTCCTTTTCTTTTTGCAGCCCGATATTACAGCACCCGGGGTTAATATTTTGGCAGCTTGGTCTCTAGCAAACACTGAACTCACCGCTGGGCGAACACTTGACTATAACATAATTTCTGGTACTTCCATGTCTTGTCCCCATGCTTCTGCAGTGGCTGCAATTATAAAGTCATGTCATCCTTCTTGGAGCCCAGCAGCAATAAAATCTGCAATAATGACAACAGGTAAGTTCTTCAACCTAACAAATCTTTTTTTCCCCAACAGGTTGAACAGCTATATCGTTCTCACTAGTTTTTTCTAACGTTTGTCTTATTCCTGACAGCTACAGTCCTAGACAACACTAGAAACTTCATTAAAAAAAATCCCAATGGCACCCAAACCACGCCTTTTGACTATGGATCTGGGCACATAAATCCAGTTGCAGCAATNTTTTTATGGAGTCTAGTTTGTATATGTGATCCGGATGATGACCCGACCCGAAATAATGTTTGTGTGGTTTTTAATGGAAAATTTTCTGAGGCTTAGTCCATGGAGCGAAGGCTTGGGCCGATAGGCCCAAAATTTTTTTGGGCCCGTTATACAACCCAGTGCGTAGGACATATAAACTCTATTGTTTTGGTGATTAGGGTTAATTGTGGATGGTACAGCCGCTTTCTGTATTCAACTCTCTCAATAGTGAAATTCCTNACTGAACTCACCGCTGGACGAACACTTGACTATAACATAATTTCTGGTACTTCCATGTCTTGTCCCCATGCTTCTGCAGTGGCTGCAATTATAAAGTCATGTCATCCTTCTTGGAGCCCAGCAGCAATAAAATCTGCAATAATGACAACAGGTAAGTTCTTCAACCTAACAAATCTTTTTTTCCCCAACAGGTTGAACAGCTATATCGTTCTCACTAGTTTTTTCTAACGTTTGTCTTATTCCTGACAGCTACAGTCCTAGACAACACTAGAAACTTCATTAAAAAAAATCCCAATGGCACCCAAATCACGCCTTTTGACTATGGATCTGGGCACATAAATCCAGTTGCAGCAATGGATCCCAGACTAATTTACGATTTTGATTCCAGTGATATTATCGATTTCCTCTGCAGCACAGGTGCAAGCTCTGCACAACTGAAAAACCTCACCGGCAAGCTAACTTATTGCAAGAATCCTCCTAAACCGTCATATGATTTTAATTACCCATCCATTGGGGTATCCAAGATGAATGGAAGTTTATCGGTGCATCGAACGGTCACATATTATGGTGAAGGTCCAACAATTTATTGTGCACTACTAGAATATCCAAGCAATGTAAATGTTACAGTTATACCAAATGAGCTCAAGTTTGCAAAGTTTGGGGAGAAGATGTCTTTTAGGATAGATTTCACTCCTTTCAAGAGTAGTAACGGAAGCTTTGTGTTTGGAGCTTTAACATGGAGCAATGGCACCCACAGGGTTAGGAGTCCCATTGGCCTTAATGTGCTTTCTGTGTAGGAATGAACGACTGTACAGTACTTATATCTTAAGATTTATAATCTAGTTAACCCCTTTGCACATTTGTTGTGTTTAATTAATGAGAGACAGAACAAGTACACAAATATGGCTCATTAAAATGTATGCTTTCTAGTTTGTAGTTTCTGTTAATCGCTATATGCTATTTGTTATTGAACAATTTAGTAGATGTGCCATGGCCAAAACAATACCATTAGCCTCCTCTGTTTCTCAAGTTTAACTAGAGGAAATTCCAGACCGCTAAGTGTGACAGAAAGTTACGTTCGTAGGTGAAATTTTCTGGAAACAGCAGAAAATGGATTCCTTTATTTTATATTTGCACACCTCAGATTTTGTGGCTGCCTTTTAGTACGTACAGATGAAGAAAATAACATATTTGCAAAATTTCAGCATGGCATGTAATGTTTTACAGTTTCCATGTCTTCAAGAATGTCATTCTTGCCACGTATCCATTATTTTCTCATCTGCATAGTGCATACCCAACCAAACAAATGTGTTATTTGGTTCTTCATATGTGCCAAATGCAAGATCATTAGGGTGAATAAAGCATGACTACACCATGATTGATGGCCTTTAAATGACCATTACAAGAATCTGTGAAGTGCAATAACAAATGGGGATCAAAGTATAATTATAGGAATCAATGGGTGGAAAGAATTGTTTGAGCACCCAACTCAAAACTAATGGGTGACGAGGCTCCTTAAGCATGTAAACAAACTTTAGATGACCCAAATTATTCAATGTATGGTACCAACTCTCTTTACACCTTCCCTCACGTGGGACCCAGTCAAACAAATAGATAAACATGCATGCCACAAAATTCAAATGGTAAAAAGATAAAAGATTTCACCTACTCGTTAGCCTAGGCCAAACTCTGATAACATCTTAGGACATCCAACTCTAAAATAATTGAAAATGAGTGGAACGGCCTTATAAGTAGAGTAGGGGTGTCAAACATGTCAGATTAAATGATTACGTGTCGGGTAAACAGGTAAAAAATCTCAATACGAACACGACCCGTTTAATAAACGGGTAACTCAACACGACTCGTTTCACCCGTTTAATTTTAAAAAAATTATATTAACAATTTTTAATACTCCACTTTTTTTATTGCCAATTGAACATACTTCAAAAAAGAGGAATTTTAGTCAAATCTCATAAATATAAAACTTGAAGGTTTAAAAAAAAGAAGCAAGAGGCCATTGTTTTTTTTAGGCAACTCAACTCTCTCCATCTCCTCTCATTTTTTAATGTGGGACAAAAACAAAAAACTTTTGTTTGCCTTTGTCAGAAGTGCTCATCATCTACTTTACTTTTTTTTTTCTTGCTAATTTTTTAAAATAATTATTCATTTATTATTATATTAATTTTATTTAAACAGGTAAACGTGTGATAAACGGTTTGACAGATCTCACCCGAACATGATCCGTTTATTAAACGTGTTTGGCGTGTCAACCCGTTTATCACTCAAACCTGTTTAATTCGTGTCGATTCAAATCAGTTAATCGTGTCGTGTCAAATTTTAGCAGCCCTACTTTTAAGCATATAAACCAATCATGAGTCGCCCTAGTTATCCCATGCAGGATTCAAGCTCCTTTATGAGAATGATAAAATGAATAAAAGTTGCAAGTGATGGTGAGGTGTAATTGAGTGAAAGTGTCTTGTGGTGGTAGGTTGTGTGAACCTATGTCCTATAATGCCCTCAAATAGGTGTCTTGGTCATCGTAAAATACCTCACACGCATAGATGTGTTGCTTTACTAAATGAAAGTAAAAAAAGAAAAGGAAGAAAAAGGGAGATCAAGGGAGGTGGAGCGTGTGTTGTGTATTTTCTTTAGAAGACAACATGAGAGAATTAGGGAGGAAGTCATGGAAAATAAGAGTGACTTCTTAATACTCTTAAAGCGATAGACAAAGAGACCATTACCACTAGGTAGGAAATTGATTGAAGTGCAGATCTTAATCTAATGATATTATTTTAACCAAACAAAATCAAGAAAAAAACTAAGAGAATTATAGAGAGACCGAGAGAACAAAATGCATTTGATCATTGTGCAACACTCTAGGGGGCTATGTTTGCCTTTCTATGGGTTTGGGGAATGGCAATAATATTACCCGTGATTTTTTTGATAACTCTCAGCCCTTATGTCAGTTTTTCTTTTGTTTAGTTTGTTCTCTTACTTCAATAGTGCTTTATTTTATAATATGCATTGTCATTGGTCTGTAATTGAGTGCTTAGTGCCCAATTACGACTGAATTTTTGGTTCCACCCTCTGTGATAATACCTATCAAAGAGTTATTTACTAGTCAATGACAATTTTAAAACAAATTTATCGTATTTTTAAATTTATTTATCAAATTATAATTATTTTAAAACTCGGAATTGCTGATCCCGCTTTTTAACAAAAGTGGGATCAACAACCTTGTTTTTATTAAATACCCATCAAACAGACCTCACGTCAGCCTCTCTCTTTTCTCTTACCCACCTCCGTCTCTCCATATATCTCCAAATGGAAGACTCCAAGTGCAACTCAAACTGAAGATCTGGTCTCCAAGTGCAAGGCTCCAACTTCCGAGTGCAGCTGAAACTCCTACACTAGGACCAGATTTTCATTTATGTTCAGATTCTATCAAGCAATTCCTTCTACTAAGCACCAAAACCTTTACATTATTTCACAATCATCCATCCAATCACTCACATACACACACATCCATCAAACACCCATCACCCACAGTCCCACACCCCTCACCAAAACCGGTCCAATTCAACACCTTTCCCAGCCCGGATCCACCTCCACCACTGCACCTACAGATGGATCCAACAAACAGACCCTTCCACAGTTCTACTCCTTCCATTTTCACCACCTTCAATAACCTGAGAGTGTGATTTTATGTGGGTGTGGAGAAATACTTCATTAATTTTTCTTACCTAATGTTTCACAAAAAATTAGAAGGGGTGATCATTGAATATAAAAATGGGGATTGAAGAAGCTGCTAATATTTGAAGAAAAATATAAGATTCTTCAATCTGTTCGGCCGATTTGTGTGTGTATGAGAATATTTGTGTTTGTGATTATTACGAGAGAGAAAGAGAGAGAGAGATGAGAGATGGCAAAAAAGTCTTCACCTTGGACCACATAATAGATGTGTCTGCGAGATGGCGAAGAAGGGAGAGATGTTGATTTTGCTTTTATTAAAAAACGGGGTTCTTGACTCCGCAATTTAAAAAGTGTTATAGTTTAGTAAATAAGTTAAAAAATGTCTTTCATTGGTAAATATATTTTTGTTGGATATATTACNTATTAAATACCCATCAAACAGACCTCACGTCAGCCTCTCTCTTTTCTCTTACCCACCTCCGTCTCTCCATATATCTCCAAATGGAAGACTCCAAGTGCAACTCAAACTGAAGATCTGGTCTCCAAGTGCAAGGCTCCAACTTCCGAGTGCAGCTGAAACTCCTACACTAGGACCAGATTTTCATTTATGTTCAGATTCTATCAAGCAATTCCTTCTACTAAGCACCAAAACCTTTACATTATTTCACAATCATCCATCCAATCACTCACATACACACACATCCATCAAACACCCATCACCCACAGTCCCACACCCCTCACCAAAACCGGTCCAATTCAACACCTTTCCCAGCCCGGATCCACCTCCACCACTGCACCTACAGATGGATCCAACAAACAGACCCTTCCACAGTTCTACTCCTTCCATTTTCACCACCTTCAATAACCTGAGAGTGTGATTTTATGTGGGTGTGGAGAAATACTTCATTAATTTTTCTTACCTAATGTTTCACAAAAAATTAGAAGGGGTGATCATTGAATATAAAAATGGGGATTGAAGAAGCTGCTAATATTTGAAGAAAAATATAAGATTCTTCAATCTGTTCGGCCGATTTGTGTGTGTATGAGAATATTTGTGTTTGTGATTATTACGAGAGAGAAAGAGAGAGAGATGAGAGATGGCAAAAAAGTCTTCACCTTGGACCACATAATAGACGTGTCTGCGAGATGGCGAAGAAGGGAGAGATGTTGATTTTGCTTTATTAAAAAACGGGGTTCTTGACTCCGCAATTTAAAAAGTGTTATAGTTTAGTAAATAAATTCAAAAATGTCTTTCATTGGTAAATATATTTTTGTTGGATATATAGCAGCAGCTTAGTTTATTAGAACTTATTAAATTTTCTCTTTATATCTTTTTATCCTTATTGTAATTTTCATTGGCTATATATATACAGAACTCTACACTTAGTTTGTATCCTTTTAACTCATACATATTCCTCTTCTTGGTATCAGAGCCAAATCCTAACCCTAACATCCATCATAATCAATCCACAGCTACAACCACCTAGCTGCCACCACAACTCCTCACCGACAGCAACCCAGCCACCGCCACAGCCAACCACCTTGCTGCCTTACTGCCCAGCCCCTGCATCCAAAAACAGCGAAACCATCTCCATAAACCTAGTAACTACGACAAGCAAGGCAGCGACCAAGACCCAACAGCCCACTACCCACCTACTAACCACCGACTGCAACATATACCTCCAATCCACTGCCATCACCGACATACCATCACCGAACAATCGACTGACCCAAAAACATATACTATCACCGACATACCACCAGCCACTACCAACCAAAACCCAACAACCGACTGACCAACAATACCGTCACCACCGACTGCAACATGTAACATATAACCCAAAACTCCAACACCCAGTCACTACTAGCCAAGATCCCACTACCAGCCAACATATACCCATAAAACAAACGACCCATATACCAATGACCCACTGTCGATACCCCACAAACAAAACCCAAAAACAAACCAGCAACCCACTACCCAACAAAACCTAGCAACACCGACTAACCCAAAATCAAACCCGCGACCTACTGCCCAATCCAGCGAACCAGCCTACTGTTGGGACGCATTCTTCGTCACAACTTCGTGTTTTGTCTTCGTACG